GAGGACCCTCAAATACGAACCGCAGGCGGGCACCTCATCAGACCTGTCGGCAGGTGCACTGCTCGCGTTAAGATTCACGGTGAAACCTGCCCTGTGAAAATTGTCGTTCTGCCAGACTGTTCGAGGGACGTCATTCTCGGAATGGACTATTTCTGTGATTACGGCGCCATCATTGACCTTCCGGAGAACAAGCTGACGCTTCGGAAGCCTGTCCCATCGGCGGAAAATTTCAAAGCGACGTTAGCTGCAGTGCGAGTCCTTGCCAGCCACGTATACCTGCCACCGCTGTCGAGTGTCCTTGTGCCCGTTGGGACCGAAGGAGCCACCCGCAGTGTAGCGCTTGTTCCCGTCCTCGTTCTCGCGGTTTTATACTTTCAAGTTTTGTATCTATTAACCAACACGCTCGTTTTCAATTGAAAGGAAGCGTCCAACTTCTCGTTGGGCGAGGGGTTGGCATTGCAAGGGGCGCAACCGAGCTCCAGGACGGGCATACCGTAGCCCTTGTCACCAACTTCCGGCAAGAGTCGCAGCGCTTTACCAAGGGTACACCTGCGGGTTATGTCGAGGAAATTCAGAACTCAGCCGCGATCGCCGTGATCTCAGAAGACGCCTCTTCGACGCAGCACAAGAGAATCACGCCATCAGAGCTCGACATCGACCCGTCCCTCCCAGCCCCAAAACGGCGACAACTCAGTGATCTTCTCGCCGAGTTCAGTGACTTCTTCTCCACGTCGTCGAATGTGCGCCAAAGGACGGTTGCGAAACATCGAATAGTTACTGATGACGACGCTCTCCCTGTGCATCGGCCGCCGTACAGGGTCTCCGTCAAAGAAAGGGAAGCCATCCAGAAACAAGTTCACGAAATGCTCGATGACGACATCGTCCAGCCCTCAAGCAGTCTGTGGGCTTCGCCAGTAGTTCTGGTGAAGAAGAAAGACGGAACCCTGATGTTCTGCGTGGACTATCGCCGGCTGAACGCAGTAACAAAAAAGGACGTCTCTTCGCTGCCCCGCATTGACGACACCCTGGAACGGCTGCGCCACGCCCGATACTTTTCGTCGATGGACTTGAAGAGCAGGTACTGGCAGATTGAGGTCGACGACCATGATCGTGAGAAGACGGCCTTCGTCACGCCGGACGGACTGCATGAATTTAAAGTAATGCCGTTTGGGCTCTGCACAGCACTGGCAACCTTCCAGCGCGTTATGGACACCGTCCTTTACTGCTTGAAATGGCAAAGCTGTCTCGTGTACCTCGACGACGTTGTGGTGTTCGCAAGCGAATTCGACGAGCACCTGAGATGACTGCGAGCCGTGCTACGGGCCTTCAAGGCTGCTGGGCTGGCACTCAAGCTTTCCAAGTCTCCGTTCGCCTATGGTGAGCTGAAATTCTTGGGCCACTTCGTCAGTGTTCAGGGTGTAAGTCCTGATCCTGCAAAGACGTCCGCTGTCGCTGAATTCCCGAAGCCGGTAGACAAGAAGGCCGTTCGAGGATTCCTTTGGATGTGCGCCTACTACAGACATTTCGTTCTTGACTTTGCACACATTTCTGCACCACTGACGCATCTGACGAAAGACGACGTGCAGTTCCGGTGCGGAGAGGAGCAAGAACAAGCGTTCGACGAACTCTAGCAAAGGCTCCAGTCGCCCCCTATCCTCGGGCATTTTGATCAGTCGGCGGAGACTGAAATCCACACGGACGCCAGCATTACCGGTCTCGGTGCGGTACTCGTTCAGCGACAAGAAGGGGCAGAGAGAGTAATCGCTTACGCAAGCCGGGCGCTGTCTAAGGCAGAACAAAATTATATAACGACCGACAAGGAATGTCTTGCTGTCGTCTGGGCGATGTTCTGTCCGTACTCGAACGGGATCCCGTTTCGCGTGGTCACAGACCACCACGCCCTCTGCTGGCTCGCGAACCTCAAGGATCCTTTAGGACGCCTCGCCCGCTGGAGTCTTCGACTGCAATAATTCGACGTAACCATTGTGTATAAATCCGGCCGCAAGCATAATGACGCCGACTCTCTGTCTAGGGCTCCAGTCGAACCTCTTATTGCCGGCGCCGACGACGATGGCGACGAATGTTTCATAGCTGTCGTAGACACCGCCGACATGGCAAGACTCAAACGAGACGAGCTGAGCTGCGCGCTCTGATCGAGCATCTAGAATGAGGAGGAAGTACCGTTCCTCGTATCTTTTCACAAGTCCGGCCCACCTTCACTATTCGACCAGGTGGGCTTTATAAAAAGAATTTCGGAACCAGTAATTTGCTGTGGCTTCTGGTAGTCCCTACCAGCCTTCGAGAAGAGCTAGATTTTTCAAGCCTGCCACGACGACACGACTTCACGACACCTCGGTTACAGCCGGACACTAGCCCGAATACGTGAAAAATACTACTGACCCATGCTTCCGAAGACCGTCCATCTCTACACACGATCGTGCTACGAGTGCCAGCGACGCAAGAAACCGCCGTCAAAGCCAGCAGGTCTCCTTCAGCCGACTACCCCGCCAACCAAGCCCTTCGAGCAAATTGGAATGGGTGTGCCGGGTCCTTTTCCACCGTCGACGATGGGAAACCGCTGGATAATCGTCGCAACAGATTATCTTCCTCGTTACGCCGGGACGAAAGCCCTTCCGTCGGGGACTGCTGTCGAAGTCGCCAAGTCCTTCGTCGAGTCCATCGTCCTCCGGCATGGTGCCCCCGAAGTCCTGATCACAGACCGAGGGTCATCTTTCATGGCACAGTTGACCCAAGAGATCCTTCGTCTAAGCAACAAGGACTACCATCGTACAACTGCATACCATCCACAGACCAGCGGATTGACGGAGCAGCTCAACAAAACAATCGCCGACATGGTCTCTATGTACGTCGACGTGGAGCACGTGACCTGGGACGAAGTGCTGACCTACATCACGTTTGCCTACAACACAGCAGTGCAAGAGACCACAGGAGTGCCGCCCTTCCAGCTAGTGTATGGCCGGACGGTGACGACTATGCTAGACTCCATGTTGCCGCAAGAGCCAGTCGACGACGGGAGCGATGACACCCAGGTGGTTCCTCAACGGGCAAAAGAGGTCCGCCGGCTAGCCAGACTACGGAATCAAGACCAGCAGCATGTCGACGCCGGCCGCTACAATCTTTGCAGGCGTGACGTCCACTTTCAAACCGAAGACCGGGTATGGGTGTGGACACCGATACGGCGCCGCGGTTTCAGCGAGAAGCTTCTCGAGCGCTACTTTGGTCCCTTCAAGGTTCTTCGCCGTCTCGAGGACTTACAACTACGAACTGCTTCCCGACGGAACTCGACCATCGATACGACGTCAACCGCGACCCGAAGTAGTCCAGGTCGTGCGCCTCAAGCCGTATTACGAACGATAGAACTTTGGACTCTCGTCAAACTGTGAACTGTGAGCTGTGGCTCGCGATTCTGCTGTCCTTTTGTTGTGGATTTTTGTTTTGCGTTTGTGCTGCATCGGGACGATGCGCTTTTAAAGGGGGGATAATGCCGCGCACAGGGTCATGGACTTCTAGAATGTTCTCGTTTATTCTTGTTCCGGACATAACTTGTATCGTGTATTCTTGCTTTTGTTGTTCTAGAAAGTGCGTGTTCATTCTCACCCCGAGCGCGTGACGCTCATGCCTTCTTCGCCGAATCTTCGAGATAGTGACTCACTCTAGATAAGAGGCCGCCCGCGACCTTGCCGAGTCAGTCTCGCACCTACGCTCTATCCTGCGGTTTCGCCGACATCGACGCACGCGACGCTCTGCTGTTCTTATCCTCTGTTTCCACTTTATTTCGGGCACAAGTCCACCCATTAAACATTTAATTTCTTCAGTTGTCATCGCCTCATCAATTGTCCATCGTGACAATATAAGACTGATTTTTTTAGACTAGTATTAATGGGTGTACGGCCGTAAACATCCGTAATCCTCCCTCGGCATCACTTCAGTCGTTTCGCTGCCGAACCTGGCCAAACGAAGAACACGATTAAGTATAGGTGTTCAAAAAACGTTCGAAATTTAGGCTCATAACTGCGTCGTAGCTCTCAGGGTCGCCCGTTACAACTGTATCATTAGTTTTGTACCACAAGATATAAATTTCTATCAGAAAACTAAGCGAAAACAACATAACACACCAATAGAGCCGCGAAACCAAACAAAAATAAGCCACCTAATGGTGCCGCGTGTGTCAACGCCATCTTCTCGCCTGTCAGGTAACTGCTGATATGAAAATGTCTATACTCTATCTACCTAGTTGCGCGCAGGATTACCAAAAGTATAAGGGTAAGACTCTAACGCTACCAGTTCAAAATGAGAGAAAGGTGGCACTCCCCTTTTGAACGAACCTGTCTTTGTGTACCCCACGTCGCCATTCTCCCGCTTGAAGATTAGCCATTCGCCCATAATACGCACAGATGCCGCTTTCACTTCTGTTACGGCCGTGACGTCCACAGGACTGCACCTGACTATTGGCCTATCGTTCGCGACAGGGTTAAGAGTTCAGGGGAAACTCCCCCCCCCCCCTTTCCAGTTTAGCAGAGCAAATGCTGAATAGGAGGTCTCCTCCTATCCAGCCTTCACTGTGCTGTAGTGGAAAGAGATGGCACCATTTATAGTTAGATGAACTATAGGAAGGAGGTAAACTGTTAGAGAGGAACTATGAAAGAAAGCGTTTCTTTTTTTACATCAGCCGCAATATACAAAAAGAAAAGTGTAGCGGCTCTTTGTACGACCGCTAGACTTTCTAAGCGGCGCTGACATCAAAACAGTTGCCCCTATTGAGAAGCTTTTTTTTAATTTCATTTAGATCTACCTGGCGGTCTAGTTTGCTGGTCCGACAGGTGCAGAGTTTTCGCTTAGAAAGAACGCATTGGCATCGCGAATTCTCATACCAAGATCTTTTGAATCAGCCACTTTTGAAAATGATAGATTCCTTTAAATATGGAGTTTTGTGAACAGATAATATATTATCTCTCTCTTTCTCTCTCTTCCTTTTCCAGCTGACGGTTCGTGTGCTTACGCAACCGGCCGGGGCGTTGCGAAACTCGACCGATCATTTCAGGGTCCCTTCTGCTTCACCGGATGGTACCACGTGTCTGGCACCCAGATCCCCTTCGTGATCTTCTATAGCAGCCCACAAGGGGCACATAGCCGCGTCTTCCACAGAGCGCCACTGCCCTTCCTCGGATCATGGCACAAGGTGGTCTATACAGAGACGCGCCCTGGACCAGTGACCGTAAGTGGCTTCAAGTGTATGTCACGTCCAATGCTCTATCATATAATATAAACGAACACTGCGCAACACTGTCAAAGGTAACACGACCTCAGGTACCATTTTTCATCTTCCGTGGTGGGCATCAAAATTTAGCACTTAGGTTAGTACATCATGTTGAAGATAACCCGACACTGGTAAAAGATTGGAGACGTAGTCTAAGATAAACACTCAACTTTGCACTTTCCACCGCTATGGAAGTTTTGATGATACTCGTTAAATATTTAGATAAATTAAAAAAGAACGGCGATGACTTGTTCGCGCATAGAGAGAAAGGAGAGAGGTCAAAATGCCAATACTGAGAGGTTAACCTAGGCTAATTATTCTGGTTGGCTATTCTGTAGCACTCGAAAAGTGTCGTGCGGTGTACACACTAGGAAATTCAACACCCTTACGGTTATAGTAAGGATGCCTGTACCAAAGCCGGCAAACCGATAGCTGTGTGTGGTAACCCTTCGCGGGCCTTTCGTGCTGGTCTGGCTGCATGACGTCATGGTGTCTCTGACGTCATTATATAACATGACATCTATTCCTTCGATACATTTAGAGGTAAAATAGACTTCATGGCTTAAAGACGTGGTTTCAGATAATACCTTCATATCCCGTGACATCAGTTTTATTTCTGAGTTGAACGCAGAGAGGAATATACTCTAAATTCAGACAGAGAGGCCTGCTCGTTAAAGCAAAAAGTCTGCAAAGTTCTAAAGCGCCTTCCTTGCATTTGGCGGAATGAGTAAACTGGCAATATATTCATTTGGAGATAAATTCCTTCAAATTCGATATAATATACTTTCTGTGAAATACTATCAAGATCAATGAAACTTTATTGTAACCTTCGTAATTGCCGGAGGTGGTCACGTGCGAATGATTATAGTTGAATTGTCTAATACATAGGCAGTCGAACAGTCAACTCGGTCGTGATTCTTCTCTTGATCCTACGCTGCTGCTCTGTGCATAGTTTATGTTCATCTCAGAAATTTATGTCGAGCGTGTTGCTCCTGAACTTGTTGCATCGTAGAGATCTCTTGGATGCTGCTAAGATTGTCTGCACCTTAGTTTAAGGGTCCACGGGCACCTTAAGGTGCTCATGGAGTCCTAAACTAGGTGCAGACAATCCCGAGGCTAACACACACGGGTTGTTAGCCTCAAGACAAGTCGCTTTACACGCTTAATTGTATAAACGTAATTATAGTTTGGTATATGTTTGAAGAATAAACTAAAATTACGATTTTGATCAGCCTCTGTTTAGTAGCTTACATTTCACAAAAAGACGCCGCCTCCGCTTTAGAAACTATACCTACAGCCTGTTTTTTTAATAGTAGACATTCTATAAAATAATGCTGATATTATAAAAATATGTATCTTCCTTTTTTAAATGTTTGAAGTGTAATGGTGGCATTAGTCCAAAATACTTTTCTTCACATGTTTTACAACGTCGAAAAAAACTATTATTGAATATTTACTCAGCTAATACTCGAATTTCAGCTCTGCGGGCCTGGGTAAGCTTTCTATAATCATGGAAGGAATATTGAACTGATCGATAATAGGAAAACAAAATCGTGTAATACTAAAATACCAATGAACAAACAAAAAATGCTTGCAATGCCCTAATCTGTTTTAGAGCTCATCTATTTCAGTACTCATTAAGCATAAACCCGAATCCGGAGTTTCGCAAGACATCCAATGCACCCTAGATAACTCGTAAACCCGAACTATGTGCACAGTGGTCGTGTTCAATCCCCGAGCACCTTTTGAGAGCAGGTGTCAGTGGATTTAAGCAGAGCATTTCAGTGGCCAATAAAGTTCGACACAGAGGCGTCTAAAGGAAAATAGCGATGAATTTGCAAAAGATCCCCCTAGTACCGTATGCACGCATACGCGCAGCAACTACGTGAAGTTTTGGAGCGTGATAAGGTTGAGTCAGAAAGCACGCCACTGAAATGTGCTTCCCTTGCTATCATTTGTATTCTGGTTCAAATGCTCGTGAGTGTTGAACCAGAAGTGACTTGTCCTTTGTCTCGTTCGAGCTGTTTTTAATTCTTCAATATACAAAAGAAACTCGCCCAAGTCTTCACCCTACCTGGTGAGGGACGAGGGAGGCGGCACCACCAGTTTCCTTTGGTCGTCGCTTGTCAGTTTCAATTCAGGTTATTCACGACTGTTGTTTTATGTATGGCCATGGTGTCTGTTTTGCGCACTCTTTAATTCTAACCTTGCATCCGCTATTACAATCAGACACGATACTTTCCTCGTTAGACCTTGTAAGAATTGTATACAAAGGTTTCGTGTGTAATCGTGTTTGTAAATATATCGTAAATGAGCACCGCTTTCGTTACAAAATTAAAAGACGTTTACAAATCTCTGTAATGATGCAACGTATCAGAAAATGACACACTTGAGATGCCAAGTAAACCATGCATAAACAAATATACTAGAAGAAGTGTCCAAGCCCTACTTGTAGCTCGAGAAATTTGCGCTATCTATGGTTGCTGTTTTCTTCCGATTCTTCCAATCAGCTGCAAGTGATTCCGAACGTCTGCTATATGATCACATAAAAAAACGAAGGCCTTTTACAACTCCCTGTAACGCCGAATTAGAGCGCAGCTCTTCAGGAGGAGGAGGGGAAGGGTACTGAGGGGAAGGTATATCCTTCCGCCCTCCTCCTCACCTCCTCATCCTGTCTGCTACTCCTGCCTCCAAGCGGCCTCGCCGTTGCATCACGAGGGTCACGTGACCTCATGGGGCCACGTGCCCTCACGGGGGTCACGTGACCCCCATGAGGTCACGTGACAATGACGATGACGTCATCAGTGACGTCATCAGTAACGTCACCAGTGACGTCACTGATGACGTCATCATCACTAGTGACGTCATCAGTGACGATGACGATGACGATGCGGATGCCGATGACGTCATCAGTGACGTCACGCGTCCCATATTGCACCGCGCGGTTACGCCGACGGCGACGCCGACACCGACGGCGACGCCGCTCAAGCCGGAAACGGGCGCCTAAGAGCTGCGCTTTAAAAAATATTTAGTGGCACCCTGCAAAAAAATGTCTTGAAGGTCTTGTCTCATTGTGAATGCAACTTTAACGCGATGTGGTTAAGGGGCTCGTATCGCAGAAAAGCGGATTTAGGTTGCGTGACGGAAAGATCCTAATTGGCCGAAAGGGTCATGACGTGACAGCCACATGACTTAGCGCTGGAATTTCAAACAACCCGCAACGCGCACGTGAACCGCGACGTCAACCGCGGAGTAAAAGTGATAAAAAAACATGACACGTACTGTGAAATAAATTTGGCCAAAATGTCTCAAATAATTTCACTTTATAATTCGAATCCACGGCCCTGGGTGGCACGCCAGACACGCTACGGACTAGAGCATGTCCGACGCAATTCCTGCTCAATGGCAGGAAAAGCGTGACAAGCGAATAAGAAGGCGATGGGAACGGGGCCGGATTACGCTATCGCGTTCCACTCTTAAACGCAGTTTTAGCGTCCTGCAAGTTTTTATCACATTTTCCCATATGTTACATAGTAAAGCCCTCATATGCCATAAAGGTTTGCATGTGGGATGCGGCCGTTGTGGAACAGGAAAAAAATAATTTCCAAGGAAAACAGATATTGCTAACTCAACATGGTCTTGAGAGAAGCGTTAAGGCTAGTCCACATATTTGCGATTGAGTGCGCTCGACAACTTTGTGTTTCTTGTGAACGGGTACGACGAGAAGACACGGGGACAGTGGCGCCGTCTATCAGAATGTTTTAGAACAGCGAATGACTAAACTCAAGACTTTTCATTATTTCCGAGATGAAATTGAAACACAATCTATAAAACATTCTCACCAATAACACCGCCAGAATTATTTTAAGTGCACAGTAAAAACTGCAGGGCGCAAAAAAAAATCATGATGTAAACACACGTCTGAGGTGTTCCAGGACAACCTTATTAATGGCGCATGCGTGTCATTGTGTTCGCTAGAGAGTCGAGATTTTTTAGAGAGAGTCTACATCAGGGGTGGCCAAGCTGCGGCTTGCGAGCCGCATGCGGCTCTTCGCCTGTTGAAGTGCGGCTCGCGGCTCTCCCCACTCCCCCCCCCCCTCCCTTCCCGGTCACATGAGCACTTCCCCAAAAAGAGAAATGGAACGCGTTTTAAATCAAAAGACAGGTTGCACTCAGGTAGTCTTGTGCTACTGCCACCTTACGTACCGTCGGGCTGCTTTTGTCTCGGATAGATTGAGAGTTGTTCGAGTTTCGTTTAATGTGCTGGACAAAAGTTTGCTCCCCCCCTTCCCCCGCGGCTCTTGAAAGTTTCGGGGTTTCCTTTGCGGCTTTCAGGCCGGGTTAGCCTGGTTGGTCACCCCTGGTCTACATCAACCCATGGGAAGCTTGTGCGATTCAAAGGCGGACACCTCCTGCTGCGATCGGTCGTCACTGAGCATGCGCTGCACCACTGTCGATCCCAATCAAGGGCGATTGTTGGAACCAGCCTTTACAAGTGTTCGTATTTTCTCCAGGTGACCATATCTACCGACCTTGAAGGCCTAGGCGCAAGCCTTTCCGTGGCTCTCGACGATCTGAGCTTCCAGCCTGGACCCTGCCCTTCGGGTTCGTATTGCGGTACTTTTCTTCTGTACAAAGCAGCCCTGACGTCACCCCGTCAAGGTGGCGTGATGCGCGGGCACTTCACCTCGAGGGAACCAGGTTCCTGCGCACCCGCAGTGCCCACACCTGGTCTGGGCAAACGCTGGCTCGTTTGTAAAAGAGGGTGTTGATCTGTGCTACCCTATTGAAATATCTCCTTTGTATGAGAAATTTCTGTTTCCAATAAAAAAACATGAATTATACAGAGTATATGAGAACATATAATAACTACATAAGGACCATATAGAACTATATAAAATGTATAATAACTTATAAGAACCACGTACGAAAGCTGTGAGAAGTTTCGCATAAGTTTTTTATATGGTTCTTTATTGTGCCTGTATATCTTTCTAGTTCTCATATTGTTCTTATATGGTTCTTATATATCTTGTATGATTCATATGGGTTTATTGGACACACATAATTTCTCCTATAAATCTTTTCACTTGGGTGAAATTTTTTCACTAGTCCTTGCATACTTTCCAGAACCCGCGCGCGTGTTTACTTCATAGTGAAAAGCGCGTGGTTCCAATTATAAAGCCGCATTAGGCATCCAGCGTTCCCTGTTTCTGCGAAACAAAATTTGGATAACGAACAAAACATTTTATAGCGTAGCAATTGGTAACAGCAAAGTGTAGATTCCTTGTAGTCTATCGATTGATCCTGCAATTAAATATGGCTTTGCGGTCATTCCACGCCAAACGACCCAGGCCTAAAGTTGACCCTCCCCGATTTGGTTCAAAAAATATTGTAGGATTTATAGGTAATGTAATAGATACGTCTTCTAGTATATTTTTCTGTAACTATATTTATTACCTCTTGCATCCTAAGTAAAAAATATAATAGGTATAATACTTTTTGGTCCAATAAATGCAAATGAACCAATAAGATCCTGTAACAAGATAAAAGAACCTCATAAAACATATAACAAGTATAATCATTTAAAGAAAGTTATAAGAAACGTGTCATCAAGTTTCTTATAACTTCTTATATAATCCTGTATTGTTCTTATAACTTCTTATGTATTATATAACCTTATTTGATAATATGTGTTTACAGGAAAGAGACATTTCTTGTACATTTAATATTTTCTCTACGAATTTTCCGAAAGACAAACCCAGATGTTAATAAACAGTTTTTTTTTCTAATGGTTTGAAACTATACTGCGAAAGGAAACCATTTTAGGTGACCATATGTTCTTACAAATTATCCAATATGTCTTGTCACTCATTTTTGAGTGATTTTAAGGGTGCTGATACGTTAAAAATGTCATAAAAATCGTACATTCCCTTTTTTCCATAATAAGGCTCCATGTAAACTTAAAACTGATGTGTGTTAGTAGTAAGGGAAACTAAATATATTAAAAAAGATAGAAAATATCTTACTGTTTTTTTTAAAGATATGAACAATATTGAATATATAACCAAATAAATTCAGTTTTGAAGATGATAAAACTCATAAAGGTTCTGTCTAAAATTACCCAGGCAGCACACCGATGTTGGTCCAACAGTGGCCCAACATTGGCAAAGATCGGCCACAATATTGGACAATATTGAAAGCGCTACCTCTTCCAACGTTGGCCCAATCATTGGTGCCAATGTTGGGCCAACGTTCAGCCATCATTCTAGCCTATGTTGGCCCAGTCATTGCTTCCAATGTTGGGCCATTGTTCAGCCATCATTCCAGCCTATGTTGGCCCCATATTTGTGCCGATGTTGGGCCAATGCTACACCAACGTTCCAGCCAATGGTTGTCCCACATTGGCAAAGACCGCCATAATCTTGGACAATACTGGAAGCACTACCCAATCCTATGTTGGGCCATTGTTCAACCATCCTTCCAGCCAATGTTCGGCCATTGCTCAACCATCGTTTCAGCAAACTTTGACCATCATTGACACGAATACTAGGCCATTATCCAACCACCATTCCGGCCAACATTTGGCCATTGTTTGATGTATTCCATCACTAGTAGTTTACTACAACATATAGCTATTCGGGCGCTCCACTGGCTATCTTACGGTTAGAAATTTTTTCCATGACATGCGTATTATGGCATAGCATCCTGAATATCCACTACTCCATTATTTTACAGAACCGTGTATAGAAAAACTACAAGGTTCAAAAAGTCCCTTCTGCTTTGGACCATGCACATCTGCATGCAAATTACGAATTCAGAACAAGTAGTCTTGTGAAACTTATCTGAACACTTCTAAAACCCAAGACAGAGGCCACAAAGACGGGACAAGCAAGATGCCTATTTATTTCTTTTTTATTCCACAATTGTAATTCTTTTGCTTCAGAAGAAAGCGTGTGACACTTGCTTTAGTGTTAAAAAAAAAAATTAAGCAAAAAGTAGAAGCAAACAAAAAAGTAATAGAGAAAAAGTAATAAGTAATAGCAAAACAGCTCGAGTCCCATACGATGGCATTAATCGACAGAGTCCATCGAAAAGGCACCGCAAAAATGCCACCCTACATGACTCCATCTAAAGACCCCCTTGAGCTGGGGACATGGGTGGAAGCAATTCCTGTGATGGATCCTCGCCCACTGTCATGAGGAATCGGCGTTTCCTGCCGCCACCCCGGTCTCCCGATCCCGGTAACCATCTGCCAATGATGGCCTGCGATGCCTTCTCATCCTTTTTGATTTTTGCAGAGATGGTTGCTGCAAAGATGGTTGAACATTAGTAAAGCTCAATGCTTCTGACCAGGCAAAATCAATTGCAGTCAAATCTAATTAATTCAAACTCCCTTAATTCAAATGAACATGCAGGTCCCACCCTATGCATCTCAATGGGTGGGAACTCACAGTAATTCAAACTTTTCTTTATTAAAAAAAAATGTTGGTCCTTCTCGAGTTTGAATTAACGAGATTCGACTGTACAACTGGATTTATGGATATGTCGAACAAAGTCGGAATGCTTGGTTGGTTTCCTGTAGAACAAATGCAGAAAAAGACTTTAGCAGAAAACACTTAACACGCCCATTTGTTGGCTGAGACGTTTGCAGCATAGTGCAGATTCTGCACAACATCCCATAGCAGGAAGCTGCCGAGGCTGCCTCACGACGCTTGCTACTCTGGGACGACAGAATGGGAGTTTGCAGGAGAGAATATTCTGTTGACAGCAGTGGCAAAGGATTACCCGCATTCCTGCTATTCGCAACTCCAGCGCCCTACAGGTTGCGGGGCGGTAGTTCCAAGATGGCAGAAGAGACGGGGATAGATTCTCCAAAATTTCCTGTATGCCTGCTCGGTGAAGCTGGTCAGTGCGCTAAAAAAGATTTATTTGTCTAGAAATGCGAGGTGGTTAGGGCAGGATCATATTACCGACGGCGGAGATGTTGATGCACGTTAGCAAAACGAGCATGCTGATACTTAAAGGTTGCCGAAAGCTCAACTTGCAAAGCTTTGTGGCAGGCGAACGTATTTTAGGAACCAGTCAGATCACTCTTTGTGGCAGAATATTTTTGAGGGCGATGAAGATATCGTGTCCGTGCATTGCCCGGTCATTAGTGCTCTAAGTGAGCTGCAGGCGTTGACCGCCAAGACTCAGAAAAGGAGGGTTCACAGTATTTATGTCTGTGTCGCAGGCTTCCAACTCGCTGCTCACCGTCGCGTTTTTATAGTGTATACATATATATTAACGCGTGATAAAACTGCACTATGGATATTGATAGGAAGTTTGTTATCCTAGGCTACTATGCGGTGTAGCATTGCAACAGGAAGTTTGTGCTGCACCTTTGAAGCACAATTTTCAGCACGCCAGGAGCCCTGCCGTGCTCACGGCTGTCACTGTATGGGTTCCCAGAGTAACCAAACTCCGGAAGTTCGTTTTAGAACCGCGGCGTGGCACTGAAACCGAAACCATGGCACCGAAATCTTGGGTCCACACATCGACGAGGGTATGAAGGCAATAGTAGCGACATGCATTGGAGCATGTTGAAAGAGCTTTACTTGAATTGCTCGATGGGCTACACAAGAGCTTCTGTGGTGCTGTGAGTAGCTTTCGTAGATAATTAACATTACATTACATAATTTTCTCTCTACCGAACATTTATAAACATTAATTCAAGTTGATGTGCTCCCGCTGCTACACCTAAAAGCGACACAAGCAGGCATTGTGCCGCTATGCACACAACCTCCCTGCTTTTGACGTCCATAACCACGTGAAAAAGACTGCGCGTAAACGTGCGTTCGAGGAGCAGTAGAGCGTACGTGTGTGCAGTTGTTTGCTCGACCCAAGATGGTGGCGATTAGAGCCGCTTGAAGCAATGATGGAGGTCAGTCTAGCGGTGCTTGTGTCACGTGATTGCTACCGTCCAATGATACTCACCAAGCCAAAACATGATCGGCTAGAAGTGAGTATGTTGTCGGCAAAACGCGAAAAGAGAAGGAATGCGTTACTCTGGGAACCCATACAGTGACTAGCTCACGGTAGCCAACGGTAGCCTGTGGTAACTTATGCTAAAACTGCCTATTACCAAATCGGCGTGTTTAGGGGCTTTATTTATTGTTCTATCAAAAATAAATATTTTACTATAATGTAAATTTTAGAGCGCAGCTCTTAGGGGCCCGTTCCCGGCTTGAGCGGCGTCGCCGTCGGCGTCGGCGTCGCCGTCGGCGTCGGCGTCGCCGTCGCCGTCGCCGTCGGCGTCGGCGTAACCAAGGTCATCCCAAGGTCACGTGGCCCCCAAGGTCATCCCAAGGTCACGTGACCCCCAAGGTCACCCCAAGGTCACGTGACCCCCCCCCCCGAGGTCACGTGACCCCCCTTCCGGTCACGTGACCCCCCCCCCCCCCCGAGGTCACGTGACCCCCCTTCCGGTCACGTGACACCCCCAGGTCACGTGACCACCCCCAGGGTCACGTGACCCCCCCCCCCCCCGAGGTCACGTGACCTCCCCGATGACGTCATCGATGACGTCACCGGCATCCGCATCGTCATCGTCATCATCACTGATGACGTGATCAGTGACGTCACTGGTGACGTCATCAGTGATGATGACGATGACGATGCGGATGCCGGTGACGTCACTGATGACGTCATCAGTGATGATGACGATGACGATATGGATGCCGGTGACGTCATCAGTGACGTCACTGATGACGTCATCAGTGATGATGACGATGACGATGCGGATACCGGTGAGGTCATCAGTGACGTCACTGATGACGTCATCTGTGATGATGACGATGACGATGCGGATGCCGGTGACGTCATCAGTGACGATGACCTCATCGGGGAGGTCACGTGACCTCGGCGGGGGTCACGTGACCTGGGGGTGTCACGTGACTTCGGGGGGCATCCGCATCGTCATCGTCATCATCACAGATGACGTCATCGGAGTCCGCATCGTCATCGTCACTGATGACTCCCCAAGGTCACGTGACCCCCCCCCCAGGTCACTTCACCCCCCAGTACCCTTCCTTCCTCCTCCTCAAGAGCTGCGCTCTAATTCGGTGTTACAGGGAGTTGTAAACGGCTTTCACTTTTTTTGTACCGTGATTATTTGCAATGTTGAAGCCCCTCTCCCCAAAAATGCGCCCCTTCTAAGCCCTCGTGACGAACGGCTGGCTAGCAGAGACGCGATTGAAATGCTTCGAGCGTTTATTTGTTTACTTTGTAATGACCTGCAACTACCGGAAAAAAAACGGAGGATGACTGTGGATGGCTGTCAGTAAACAGTGGCATTTCTTCAGAGCTTTGCTGCAGGAACTACAATGAGTCATGGCTGGACTGGACTTAACTCGAAACACCCAAAGTTACCATCAGCCAGAAAAGAAAAATAGGCGCCTAAGTTTTGGGAGCCTGAAAATGCTTTAAAGGGAAGCTGAACCGGTTCTGTATTTGAGGATAAACAACTAAGTCGACTTCATGTGGCGTTTAGGACCACGAATATAGAGATTATTTTTCAATTTGGTGAACGGAAGATGCAAAAATTAATTTTGAAAGTACCGCTGAATCCCCTCCTTCCTGGAGTGTGAGGTCACAAAAGGTTTTTAGGAATCTCCGCTCTCACGCATCTTCAGCACCAATCAAAGCTGTGCACGCGCACTCGCTCTCTTTTTAGAAAGATTAAAAAAATAAATGACTGGTGTCAGCGTGGAATATACCTGGCAAGCTTGCGATCACACGCGTGCCCACACAAGCAACACGCGTTTGGCGGCCAAAGGATCCTTTTATGACATCACGACTGGTTGGAGGTTTTTCGTGTTTTCTCGCGATACGAGAAAGCACAAGCCCTCTCGTGCACCGCCGTTGGCCTCCTATGAACTAATGTTATGGCGGCGTCATGCATGCGCTGAACGCTCGGTGAGATAGGTCTATTACATATTCGGGAAAAACAAATGTAATATTCGGATTAATGGTTCACGATTAACGTGTTAAAAATACGTCAGAAATCACCTCTAACTCGTTTTATTTTTGTTTTTGTTTTTTTAGAAAGTGTTTTAGCTTTTTTTTTAAGAACTTCACATTTCAGGACTGCCCTACAGTCAACTTTTTTTGCTTTACTTTTAGCATTTAAGAAAACTGCCCTGTCTGCCTTCGGGAAGTTTGGCATGGCCAGGAGAATATGTTGTCAAGCATCGTCACAATGGGAAGGAAAGGATGGATGTTTTTAATGATGGAGTCTTCGCACCAAGAAGGATGCGTACAGCCCCACACCAAATAAATTAAAGCTCCTGCCAGTGTGGTAGGAACTTCAAAGGAATTTTTAGGGAAAATCATAGTCTGCTAAATAAGTTTCGTGGGAAGTTCTTCATTGTTGAAGACCATTCAATTATGAATTCATACTGTGCAAGGGCAATTAGGACACACACAGCACAACATTTTGGTCACTTCTGTTAAGCTGAACATTAATAAGCCAAACAAGGTTTCCAGGTCGCTTCATGTGTGCAATAGGAGATTGAGTCACTGTATACGTTGCGAGGCAAACACAAATTTCAGTAATGAAATATTACCTGTCGCCACGGTGCAAAGTTGCAGCAGCAGGAACTTTCTTTTTCCTTTTTTCCCATGCAGGCTATACAAGGCCTGCACAGGGGGGCTCATTATGTGCGACATTATATTTGCCACCGTCTCCACGTCTGTCTTCCCTCCAATCCTGAAGAGCCGCTTTTGCTGCAAAAGAGCATAAGAAATAACCATAAAACAATATTGCAAACTTTATATAGAAATTGTGTCGTAAAGGTAAATAATTGAAATCCTATGTCCTGTACAACTCATTTATTAACCTAATCTGCTTCCACAGAAAGTATTAGAAAGATTGAAGCTTTCAAGCCTCGAGTCAATTATTCACTGGCCCTAGAAGCAATTTAGGCAGTGCAATAGACTACTTCCATAAAGCCCTGCATGCAACACGGCGCGCGTTGCACTCTGGGAACTAGTTGGCCAGGGAGGAGAGTGGCACGTGGTTTCGGTTTCGATCGACTCGTCGACATGAGATTATACACATTTTTTTCTGGTCCCGAGAGCGTCATTTGTGGTCTCTAAACTAACCTAAATGGCCAGACCTCGAAGCTTTAGCACAAGCCCGAGACGTATAGCTTATCTTAACACATGCTTGTTGTATTTTTGTATTTGAGCCTTTCTGTTGGCGTTTCGAGGTATGTGGACGAGCCAGTGCTGGGAATCTCGGCGCTGCGAAGCTCGGAGATCTCGCTTGTGTACGAATCAACAACCTGTAGCAACCAATAAGTACGCATACATCAAGCTCAACGCCTTTACATTAGTGTTGTTGATCAGGAAGTTTGTTTCGTGCGTCCATAGACGAAATATAACTTTTTGCAATTACTGTTTTTCTTAATATGCCTGAGCACGCGAGGTAAAACTCGGAGGCGCCATTGAAAGGCTGAATTTTAACACACTTCTTATCTGTTATCTGTGCTGACCCGCAGTACTGCACGAAGTGAAGTCCCCACCCGCTTGTATTCCACTGATATTCAACATCGCGTATGCGCATAAAGTTATCCTGCAATCGTATAAGCACATTCGCACATACAAACCGTTTTAAGAAAGCAAAAGTCTAGCACTACTGTGAAGAATGCCGCACCGTTTGCCGGAAGTGCGCCAGACGGGCGTGAACCCCTATGCGGTGCGCCAAACGAACGAAATTCTTCAAAGCGCATTTGACGGTTGCTAATGGCCACAACTTATTTGTTATGTGTTTGCTTTCTTCCTGACTGAAGATCCCGGAGACAATTTCAGACACACTGTTCAGGCACAGATCTTGGGCGTCAGTAAAGCTCGTCCAAAAAGGCTTACAGAGGAGTAGAGGACGCTTGTTGGGGCCTCCGTCGTAGCTAGCCGATCTCAGCGTTTGCAAAAACTTAATCTTCTATCAGCATAAAATTTGAGTGGGAGATATATGATTACACGAGGAAGACATCATGGTAACTTTAGTGCAGTAGTGAGGTTGTATTTATTGCGTTTCCTTAATAAAAGTTCATCCGTCAACGCGGGCTCAACTTTGATAGTCCTGTAAGGATGCGGCTTGCTTTTCGCCCAATGAAGTAACAAGGAGCAGACGTTTCGCACACAAAATACGTGTAAGGCTCAAGGTGACCAAATTTCAGTTCTAGTATACTGGCACTAACTAGACGGGATTATTGAAATTGAGCTCAAAGATGGACTCGTGTGATGAGGTGACTAAGACACGTCTCACTACGTTTGCATACGCACGCACAATATCCGATGTTTTTGGAACCAAGAAAAGTGCCCCGGTCTTCGTTTTGCATCGCTCGAGAATGAGTGTATTGTACATTCGTAAAAAGTCAGATAATCAAAAACGCAAGCAGCGCGTTCGGTCGCGGCGGGGTAGCATGAGATGAAGCTGCTCAGTGGAAACCGAAACTGAGTGGCCAACTAGTTCCCAGAATGCACTGCGTGGTATTTCGCCGCGATGGGGCGCGTCGGTTTTGGAAGAAGTCCATTCTCTTCAGTTCACTGTACACTGCAGCCACTTCAAGGGGTATTAGTTTTATTTTCACCATTATGCAGACATGGCTGAATGTTAGTCCTTAAGGCAGCTCTCTAAATGAAGGAAGTTTAACGAGGGCCACAAGCAATTATAGGTGATGCCTCCTCCAGGTGCCACGCACTCAAGACGTGTCCCCTGGATACAACAGGGCTAACATTATTAACCGACACATTACTTAACCCTTTAACTAGAGCACAGTGAGCCTCAATAATTCTACCTTGGTTTGTCGAACACAAAAGCCACTATTTTCCTAAATCTGGGGAGCAAACAATGTGTTGCACAAGGAACGCATCCGAAACAATTGCCCCATATTTCTCCGAATATGCTTGCTCCGAGTTCCGAAAAATTAGAAATTTTTGTTATCATGAAAGCCTTTTCATCGTCACTTCAATCAGGAAAAAGAAGGAATTTGTTTTCAGGGCGATTTCATTTGACAAATAGGCAGAGGCAATGGCTCAAAAAGCTTCTGTTGAAAAACCTGAGCATTTTCCTGGCCTGCTCTCTGCCACCTCCTTCAAGAAGTGGAGCAGAGGTACCACGAGCAGTTTTTTTTGACAGAAATGAAGTACTCTATAGCATATCTCAAGTTTAAGAAGGTGGGGCGAGGGAAAGGAAGGTGGGACAGGTTGAAACGGAAGCACCGCTAGCTGGCGAGGGGAGTGCCAGGTTTCCTCTCCCCTCACCATCATTGGTGAGGGGAGATGATTTCTCCTTTTCCACCTTCCTTCTCCTCGCCCTACCTTCTTGAGTTGGCACAGACCAGTACAGGGTTGGCCGAGCTGGCATGGCCTAAGAGCCGCAAACAAAACCACGGAACTTCTAAGAGCCGCGGGGGGGGGGGGGGGGGGGGGGGGGGGAGGGGGCAAACTTAAAGGGAAACTGAAGCGGTTCTGTATTTAAGAAAAAGCACTTCCATGGCCTTCGTTCGGCCTCCATGATCACGAATATCGAGATTATTTTTTAACTCGGTGCACGGAGGCTGCATAAATTAATTTTTAAAGTACCGCCGAAGCCCCTCCTTCCCGGGGCGTGACGACACACTAGGAGTTTTCGGAATCTCTGCTCTCGCGCATCTTCAGCGCCTGTCAACGCTATGCACGCGCACTCTTGCTATTTTCAAAAAGGTCAGAAAGAGACGTCACGGCTGGGGTCAGTGCGGAAAAATATACCTGTCAAGCTTGCAATTGCACGCGCTCGGCGGCCCAAAGATCCTGGTATGACGTCACGACTGGTCGGACGTTTTTCGTGTTTCCTCGCGCTTAGTTACATGTTCGGGGAAAATGAACATGATATTCAGATTCACGGGATAAAAATACGCCACAGTTCACCTCCAACTCGTTTTTTTCAAGAAGTGTTTCAGCTTCCCTTTAACTTTTGTTCAGAGTCTGACTGTACGTATGGGGGCACAAAGCTGTACGACTGTACATATGGGAATACAAGGCTGCCGAACTGCAGGCTGCAGTGTGCTTTCTACTGTAATCCTTTCTTTTTGTTTTTCCTGGGAAAACGCGGTAAGGGGCGAAGGAGGGGGGGGGGGGAAGGGGGGTCCCCTCACGAGGGATTCGGGAGCCGCACTTGGACCAGCAAAGAGCCGCATGCGGCTCGCGAGCCGCGGTTTGGCCACCCCTGGACTAGTAGATGGCCAGTTCATTAAATTCAAAGTATATTGCTTGTACTAAACAAGAAAGCTGAATACACAGCGACTCGCTGATTGAGTTGTTTTTTTTCTGTGAATGCATTCTGACCGGACAGGCGAAAGTATGTTGTTACATGATTAAAAAGGGTTAAGGGGACACAGATTTTTTTAAAACAGGCTGATTATGATTTGCACACCACAAGATGTTGAAACAAGAAGAAAATTCATTGGAGCAAGTATATTGCCTTGAGCCTTATTTGAGTTATTCCTAGAAAGGTGGCTCTTAGGCACATTGGAAGCCCTTTTTTTTTAGGAAAACTCGAATGACTCACACCTTTAATTATGCTCCTATTTTCTTTTTTGGGGTCAATACATCTTGTGGTATCTGGACTGTAATCAGGCTGCTTTAAAAACAAGGTTTTCTTTTGTCTGCAGTGTCTATTTAATGAATCACAGCAATCCAACACGAGATGTGCCCAATACAAGATAGCTTTCATTGAACTAACAATGCTTCACATTGCTGAAGTGATAGTGAGGCAAGGTACTCAATAAAAGCTACCGTAAGCCAGATTTGCACAACAGAAACAAAATGGTAGAGATCCATATAATCAATAGAGACATCTAAAGTACAATGTGGCTTCCTCACAAGTGATAAAGTGGAATCTCATTTATTAAAATCCTCTAAGTGCGAACTTTGCATGTTGCTCAATAAGAACTTTTTAGAAAAATTTTACTGTGAGTGCTACGTTAGAATCCTTGCTGCAGAGCTTGCATGCATGCCAACTCCTTTGGGTGCATGACCATAACCTGTTGTACTCATGTACAGCTAGACTCTAAGGAAGGGGTTAAAGAACAGTTAGGCTTTGTACACAATTCTGCGGAAAAAGAATGCATGATGATGTGTCGTAACGAAGAATATAAAATAAAAAAGGCTAGTAAATACCAAGGCTTCCGCTACAGCCTCGTCCTGAGCGGCTTCCTCCGCCGCCATCAATTCTTCCAGGGTTGTGGCTGGTAGCCTTGGTAGAGTGACTGGGCGAGCACCAGACTCTGGTGCTGGTGCAGCCTGTGCTGCTGGCGCCTCCAACAGTCCCAGCCGGTCGTGATGGCCCTCACAGACCTCTTTGAGCTGCGAAAGCTCATTCAGAATGTCTCTGTTTTGCTGCCGCACTTCCAGCAGCAGGTGGAGCAGTCGTAGTTGGACACCTGAAACACAAGCAAGCACTTTCAATGAATAAAATAACTTGGTTTTTCATATTTTTACCACTTGACACTTATGTACGGGAGCGACAACGGAGGTACACTGGAAGGGCCATCCACCTTTCAAATCAAGAGTCTTAACCAGAGGGCAGATCAAAGCATGCATAACAAGCTCGAAAGAGCTCCGAAGTTGTTGCATGCCTGCCAAATGAACAATGTTGAAATTAGGGAGACCGGGGGGCGGGGGGGGGGGGGGGGGGGTAGCAAGGAATTGTCACAATCCCCCCGCCCTCAGACACGCCCCCTTTGCGCTTCAACAAGTTAATGAAACCTTAGGGTTTCTTTACTTGCTGTGACACAAAGATAGCCCTAGTGCTTCTGGAAGGCGATGTGGACCTCGATATCAATGTTACCTCTATGAGCTACGCTGACATCGCAAGTGCGGGTAGAACAGGATCACAAACTTGTCACGTTCCCTTGACGACATGAAACATGCAAATTTAGTCGTCCCCGACTCCAACATTTGTAGGTATTACTTTTCCCCCTCAGGGAGTGACATCCTCCGACCTGACGCCGAATATCAATGAACAGAACTCCAACGCAAACCAAACAGTTTGATCTAGGTCTAAGCCACCTAGTCATTGAGTCCTTGCACGCCTCATACGCGTGGTTGCACGAGATGAATATAGTTAATTATTACACCCGATACACCCTTTTGTATTAGGCGGTAGCCAGCATCACCTAGCCACGCTAACCTGTTGGCAATATCGATGCGGCCATACTGTATTAAACGAGGCTCTGGCCGATAACGCCAGGTCCGTGCAGCTGCCACAACTACAAAAGAAAAAACAACTAACGTTGCGGTTGTATTTTGGGAGGTTTCAAGTCGCATTTGCACAATCAGAAGATGTGACCGAACTCGAAAGTCTCTTGGACAATCCAGGAAAGTTAGGTATGTTGTTGCACCAATGATGGTGCCATATGTGAGCAGCAGCTTCTACCAAGTGGTTTGCTAAATTTGTTTTTGCTGTGCTCTGAAATAGGGCGTTATCAAGTTTTTTTTGTTACAATTTCTTCCAGAGCTATACACCAACAAATTTGAATATGAGCAAAGCAGCATTTTTGTGGAGAGTTTGATGGCACTCTGTTGAATGGCATATTAATACGGTCCGCTTTACAACTGAGAAGCTTCCATCGACACCTCCTAGCTTTACCTTAAGAGTTTTTTTTAGTTTCAAGCCGTCGTTGAAGGGGCCATAAAAAAACCACTGCAACCTGCACACTCTCCAGATCTGAATGTTCATAAACAGACTCACGACTTGCCACCACATCCTCCTCCCTGTCTTCATGACAGGCACCTTCGACGTCCCAGTTCTCCTCCTGGGAGTGCAACCTGGAGTTGCGTGCAGCGGCCTCACCGCTAGCCCTCTCCTTTTCTTTTTGAGGTTGTCAACATGGATTGCACATTGCCTCAGCACTGGGCCCTTTCTTGACCTTTTGGGGCTGCGAATGGGGTTTGTGTATTGCGGTCCTCTCCCTTGATGGTGAGCTTGATGAGGCTGCAGTGTTAGTTCAAGGGAAACAAGGTTTGACAATGCCATTTTTCATCAGAATGTCATGACTGCTGGTATCCGCCTAATGCACAAATGTAATTTATTGTGTCTTTTGTGAAGTTTGATTGACGTGGTGGAAAGGCACCCAAAAGCTAAATACAAGACATTTCGGTAGAGATAAAAAAAGAATTGATATGCCACGTAGGCAGAACAGTCGATATCAAATGCTTTTCTCTTGAAGAAGTTGTCTCCCCAATAGACCTATTGTGGTTTAACCCATGTTCCCCGGCCCGCACTTCGGGAATTCTGTAAACTTGGTTCTGCCATGTCTGTCCCCTGGCTGCTCCCCCCCTTCGGATCGCATTCCCCAGCCACCGACGCCCTTTAATCTTCTTTATCTGGTTTCAATTACGATCTTCTTTAGTATGGCTCATTTTATTGCTTAGAGGTACATTTATTTCGTCCTGCATACCCAAAAATCCCGTAAGGGCGCCTTCCCCCGTGCAATCGCCCATCCCATTTTTCTGGCTAAATATCTAAAACAAAAATTCCGAAATATCGCCCACCCCATTTTCCCGTCAGACATCACGCAATGTCCGATGGGTGGATCAGTCGAGTCAATTTGTTATTGAATCCCCAGCACCAATCAATATCTAACGTTTTATGAAAGCTATGGATTGTTCGAGACAACAAAAATATGTAAGACCAAAGGTTCTGCAAGCCACAACACTAAGATTATGGAAGCATCCGACCCAATATTCATCGCTTTGTTGAATTTACACGCGTGTGAAAGGATACAACACAACCTTTAGTAAGAATAAACAACAAAAAACATCAAACGTTTAAAAAGGAAGCTTCAGCTGAGCCGGAAACGGGCTTGCGTCGTCCAGATTCATGCTTCTGAACGTGCGCCTGTAGCAGACGCCACACGGCGGTATCCCTGCTTTCGCATGTTTCCAATTTCAGCCACACGGTGGCGACACTGTTCAATCTCGAGGCGATTAATCTTGTTTATTTGACATGAATTCGAGAGTAAGAAGGCAGTTTTGATTGTCTGTGTACATGCTATCAGTGTTGGCAGAGAAACAAATAAGTGATCATGATGCCAAAGCAGATTACGCACCAGTTTGGTCTTTCATGCTTGTTCGATTGACATGTGGGGCATTGAGTACAGTTTCCTTGCACGTAACGCAGGATGCTGCTTTGATTTTACGATTCAAACGCGTGACGAGCCGTTTTAGCATTTTGCACACCCTATGCAGTGCCTGTTAACAACCGCTCGTGCGGCGTCACAACCTTTGTCTGAGACTGCCAACGGTTCACGTTGCGGGGGCTCACGCTCCTCTATGCATCGCTGGCAAAAGTACTGGCACGAGAGCACTATCTGATCTATCTTCTTGTTCTCATGGGTGCATCTAAATCCCGAGAGCACCTTGCAGAGTGTGTTTTAAGTGAAAGAGGAAGGCAAGGTTACCATGCAGGGTAGCACAAATGCCAGCAGAAAAACCCTTCGGCCAGTAGAGCTCACGCACTAACCAGGTACAGTTACTGTGCACACGTAACTGGTCTGGAGTGCAATGATGCAATGACCTCGAATCATGAAACATTGCACAAAAATACAGTGCAATCCACTTATAACGATACCAAATAGAACATTGTCCTGCTTATAACGATCAATATCTAGAGTTTTTAGACTAGAAACGCTCAGTCCAGTACTGATACGACAATCGGTTATAACGATTGAATTTTTGGGTTTTCTCATTATCGTTATAAGTGGATTGCACTGTATGAATGTATACAACACTTTGGTTAAATACCAACAATGCTTATTCTTTTATGCTTACGTGCTGGTGGGATTTCAAGTCGGGGACGGGGGACATCTTTCCTGTTTGAGCAGGACTCGCCGGCTAGAAGAAAAAACATGCAAACTGTACGCACCATGACACTGTGAGCGCGAATATGACATAGGCGCTTTTGGATTGTGCAAACAATTGGTTGGGCAACAGAAATTTCGCTGCCTAAGTCATGTTTCCTATGAACCCTTTTTACTGCATGGGCAGCTAAAACAGGTTCTGAAGCATTTTTGTAGCCTAAAAACAGGCACTTTAGAGCACCTTAAAAGGGCACTGACACGTCAAAATCCTTTTTTTTATTATCCGAAACGATTGAAAACGATGCCTGGACACTACCCTCAAAATTTGAAAGTTGGGAACTCTGTGTTTGTGAAGTAAAAAAACAATTTCCAAATGCCGAATTTGAAGTTCCCGCGATATCCGCACCGGTGCGGTGACGTCAAAAGCTCAGCTCCCCTGCGAGTCGACTTTTTTTCACGCCTCCGCTCCGAACCCACCGATTCACCCAGAGACCTGGAGTGAGGAGGTGAGTGGGGGGAAAACCGGCTCCTGTGTGCGCCCTGCGAGCAGACGACAGTCGCGGCATCATAACGCACGCCGATTTTTCATGTTTAAAAAAAGAAAGGCCGTAGTGCGTTCGCAATTGCGTTAAAAAACATGTTTCACGATGGCCGTTATTAAATGTTATAGAAATGTCGCCTACAAAGCTTCTAAATTTCTTTGTTCTTGACGTCACAATTCAAAAGAAGCGAGGAGGTGAGGGTCGGGAGAGAAGGACGGCAAAAATAAAAAGGTGCGCGCGCGTGGTGAAATTTTTTTTGCGGTGCGGTATTTTTTTGCATGTCGAGAACTACCACTTGCATAGTTTTAGTCAATAAAAAAAATACGACGTTTGTGGTGTCAGTGCCCCTTTAAAGTAGAAAATCAATATTTTGGAGCAGCTTAGAAGCAGAGAAATTCACATTTTGGAGCAACCTAAGGACTAAATATTATAGCAATTACTAGGAAATTGTGGGGCAATTACGTGAAATGTAATTGCAGCACTTATTTTATTCAGAACTGCCAGTCACACACGCCTTTATTGTAAGTTTTAATACCGTTTTGATTCGCATAATGAACGTACCCCTCGCAACAACCATGAACATTTGGACTTTTTTTTTTTTACCCCCGCATAATGAACACATTTTTAATTTTCGGCTTTGCGAGTCTTGACCTGCATCAAACTTAGCTCTAGTCGGCTAGCGTCCAAGCCCGCCAATTTTCTTTTGTCGCGAAGCTACCAGGCCAAGTCAAACCAAGCCAAGTTACTCTCACAATGGCTACAATTCCATGGTTACGGAAATGATCAACCGTGAAACCGAGCCGCGCACACGTCTAGCGTAGCTGGGGTCGAGGAATAGCCCAACCCCAGACGTGCTTCGTCCATCGGATGCATTGATGTCAACACGCCGCTGTCTGTGATTTGCTTTCCAACAGTGATATTGTGAAAGTGGTCATGCCTTAGAACGGTCGCGTCGTTCCGTGTGAAGTGAGCTATGTAGGGCACTTTTTCTTCGGCAAAAGGCAAAACAAAAGCGCTCTAAAAAGGTTTGCAATTTATAGAGCGTGATTACTGGGCACACCTCCGTCAGTGGAGACGTGCCACAGTACCCTGTCATGTGATATTGGCACCTAAAATGAGATTTGCGTGACGTGTTAAATGCAAAACTTTTACCCTGCGTAATGAACGCCCCCCTCAAATATGGGTCAATTTTTCGGAAAACAATGTCTTCATTATGCGAGTAAATATGGCATTCTTATTTCACTTTAATCCTACAATTATTGCCCTTGGCTATACCATGCTGAGTACACTGGTTCTCGTCCGATCATCGAAGCTAAGCAGCATCGGGACCCGTCAGTACTTAGGAGGGCGACAACTTTTTGCCATCTCTCTTCCACCCTCTGGTCAACGTACCTTCTCTCGACTAGTAAGAGCTCGAGTTGTAGCTGAACACGTGACTTCTCTCAACGCATTACAATGGGTTTTAATGGCCAGATTCAGACACAAAAATTTATAAAGTAGGCTAAGAATGTTTCTCGCAAGAAACAAATGGATCTATGAAACCAAAGGTTTCATAGATCCATTTGTTTTGTATGACATGCGTCATACGAAAACTCATTAAATTAGTAAATAAAAAAAATGTCTTGGAAAAAAAAAGGCTTTTGAGGTATATTGGTGCAATTTTGGGCGATTTAATATTTTTGCCACAACCAGGCGCAGAATATTCTGTGTGTTTGATAATGGGGCAATTCGTGCAGCTGTCCCACCCCTGGTAATAGCATTTGCCTAGTCAAAGTTGAATGACAAAAACATGCAGAGGCTTGTTCCTGCTAACCGCGTCACACTCTCTACATTAGAAAATCCTATTATTTTGCTTCCAGCTCTTTTGATAAAAATTTGGAAATCCATAATCACCAGAAGCGTCGGAGGTGTCCAGAGCAGAAGTATGTTCTGCAGTGTTGATTTTCCGGGACGCCTTTCGGTAAGTCCCTGAAGAAAACAAAAAGTGAACTAGAATGCACAAAGATAATAAGGCACAAGAGGAAGGGAGGCACTCAGTGCCAATGCATATCCTCAGGGCAGCATTAATGCCATGCCCCTCCCCCCCCCCTTTTCTGGTAAAAAAGTGAAATGTGCCATGCAATAAGAGATTTTCACCATCCCCTTGAGGTCCAACGACAAGCTACAGATGGAACCATTTATTTAGAGTTAAATGCACTGGTGCCTTAGCAGTTGGCCTTTTAATGGCCAAAATAATCCTGGCAGAGGCCCCTAGGGCAGCTGTGAAGGAGGGCAAAAACAGAGTAAGCGAAGGTTTTGTAACTCAAATATGCCCCAATCGTGCAGGGATGCTCGCTTTGCTTCCTAAACTCACCAATACCAAGAAAAATGCAAATGAAAATTCTCTTGCATACAAACATACAAAAAAATGCTAGAAGGCATTCACCAGCACAGTGGCACATGGCTTCCCGTGCAAGCAGTGGGATAACAGTGGACATCATAGCAATTGTAACACACCAGGAAATAAAAAGAAAATACAGCATGCCAGGCTTTTGTTGTTTCTGTTCTTGATCATGTTCTTTTGCAGAGCCGACAAAAAGCAGAAGACGCGCAGCCTGACAGTTTCGTGCATGCCTATGTAGAAACCTCACTTTCACGTGCAAAAAAAAAGCAGAAAACTATGGCACCAGAACTCCAACCCCAACTTTGAGATAAGTACCTGTCTTTGTGCAGAACTTGATGCACACCAATTTAAAAAGTGATGCATCACCTTCATCTGGTGTGCAGCTTAGAATCTTTGTACATATGACATCCACATGTAAATCTGGCTACTGTGTAAAAATCTAAGCTAAATTAGATCTACTCTGAATGTCCTCAGAGCTGTTTGAAAAAATTTCGAAAAAAGTATTGCTACTACATCCAAATATTGTAGTCATGATATTCTGAGCCTCAGTTAAGGCACGTTCCATACGTCGATGCTACCAGTTGCGTGATAACTTTCATAGCAAAATCGACCATCGCAAGAAGAAAGCGAGGCGATTTGGGCAGTCGCTACCTGACCCTAGTTTTTGCGATGCGATCTGTGCAACCTAAAAACGAAGGGCGAGGGTAAGACAGGCGGGGGAGGAGGAAGCAGACTGAACGCTAAAGAGAGAAGGAGGTTTCCCTCCCTTCTCCAGCGTTCCGTCTGCTTCCTCCTGCCCAGTTCGTCTTCCCCTCGCCCTTCGTTCTTAGGTTGCAACGAACTATAGTCGCGGAGCAGCTGAGCCAATCAACGGCGTTCGAAGCCAGAGTTTTCGAGAAGTGACTCGCCAACGAAGGCGTTGGACTCGATAATCGCGCATGCCGATGTGACCATCTAAATTTTTTGCAATGCGATCTAGCCGTGTCGCGCGACTGCTTTCATCGCCTGTGTGAAAGCGCCTTTACACTCCCACCAGCTTGAAGTCGTGACCGCCATTTCGTAAAATGGCAGTCACAAGAAAAGGTTATGAAGCTCACAAAGTAATTACTTACTGTATGTTGTCATCACAACAACTGGATGTGGCTCCCAGCCGGTTTCACCTGGTAGGGCCCGTTGTTCGGCCAGGGCCAAAACCCCTTTTCCATTTGCTCTTCCATTTTCTGGCCACATGCACGTAGAACGATCTTCAGACAGCCATATCACAGGAACAACTGCCACGCAGTCGTCTTCGAGGGGGAATTTTACAATGGCAAATGGTCTGTCCATCCTGTACCAAGCATACAACAGAGGCAGGGACAGAGTGAAAGGGTCACGTTCGTTAGCTCACAACAAATTTTGTGCCATTGATATCGTAGTTAATATGACCACACTTGGGAGTTGTAAGCTTGTAAGATAAGGAAATTAGAACAATTCAACGTCCCAAATTTGTGGCTGCCAAGAAGGCATCTATCACATGAACATAATGGGCGCAAACTGATAGCTTTGGACATTGGACCTGAAGAACTGCTGAAGCCACACGGCGATGCGATCTTGTTGCGCGATAACTTCGTTGCAAAAGCGACCATCGCGGAAAAAGAGCGACGCGATTTGAGCAGACGCTGACCGGATTAATAATTGGTGTTGTGTGGATATTTATGCAGCGTGTAGTTGGTCAGCCATTTCAAGGTTGCGACGAATCACTAGCTGTAGAGGAGCAATGTAGCCAGTGCAGTAACACCGCTAGTCTTTAAAGGCGTGTTAAGAACGGCGATGCGATCTAGTCGCGCGATAACTTTCATCGCAAAAGCAACCATCGCAACCATCGTGGAAAAAAAAGCGACGCGATTTGAGCAGTCGCTAGCTGACCAAACTTTTTCCGATGCGATCTAGTCGAGGAAGGGACTCGCTCATCACGTACGCCAGTGTGACCATCTAATTTTCTTGCGATGCGATCTAGTCACATCGCGTGACTGCTTACATCGCATGGTATCAACGCGCCTTAAACCACATGCCTCCGAATTCCACACATGTGGTTAGGCTTACCGAACCCCGCACGTCTTTCCACTCGTTGGGACGCTTGGGGGAACGGTTTATAGCAATTGCAAGATAAAAGATAGCAACACGAACCAGAAACAACACTTACCCAGCGGTAGAATTGCACGGGTGATGAAGACGAGTGGCAACTGGAAGCAACTAGCAAGACTTGTTTTTCAATAGAAGTCTTCAGACGCCCATCCACCATGTGACAACAGGAAGAACAAAAAAAGAAAATGCCAAGGGCGACCGTCGCGCCGCCTTTCGATTGTCGTCCCTAAGCGATAAATATAATTGTTTACTGTAAAACTCAATACAATTTAAAAAAAAATACAGCTAAACTTACTAATTTAGAAATATATAAGAATATTTAAATATTTGTTTATCTTAAAATCACACAGAAACCGAAACCAACCCAAATTTTGCTTGCGGTTTGTGTTGGCAGATCACCATGGTCCGGACTCCGCGCTACTCTGCGGTAGAAGCAGTAGAAGTTTCAAACGTGATCGTGGCGTCCGAACAAGATATCGCTTGAAAAAGAGACAGGGTGTGCAGTCTCTGGAACCCTTACGCCCTTACCAGTATGCCAACGGAGTCGGTATAAAGTTGACAGAGGGTGTGGTTGATAGAACCCCATTTCATGGAAGCTCGTTTTAGCGAAAGCGTACGTTTCATGGAAGCACGGTTTAGAGAAGGTATCAGAAGGAAATAAACCATTTTCTCTTTCTTGTTGCCACTTTCTCTCACCAAAGTAAGCCCCACAAAAATAATAATAATATAAAACAAAAAACATTTCCACTTTTTAGATCGAACCGACAGGCAAGACCCAACAAGTTTCGCTTCTGGTCAAGGTGGACGACGTCGTAACGATTATATTATGTTCTTTTAACGTCATATTTTTCTCTTAGCCTTTCGCTGTTTATTGATCTTTTTTTTTTTTTTTTTGGATGTGCTATAATTTTGATGACGAGATCCTAAGAAGGTTTTGTTTTCATTTTATTTTATCTACGCCAAATGGCTCAATAAATATTACTGACTACAGACAACGAATGCAATCCACAAACCAGTCTCCTCCACATGCCTTGTTGACTTCGTTGCGCGTGAACGAGTTCAGTGCAGCGAGCGTTCTTCCTTTGTTTGCCGGTGGCTCTGCTTTTCTGCTTTCATTTATTTTGGGATGAGCTCCAAATGGAGTAAGTACCGAGTCGTGAGCAAGGAGTACGCCGAGACCTTAGTGGAGCTCGGCTGTTCGCGGCGGATCATCGATCATTCTCCAAAGTCTGCAAACTATAAGAGACGGAGAAGTGAAGCATTCACAGACGACGCTTGCTCTGGCGAGAGCGGACAAGAGAGTTCGACGGTCAGTGCCCATCCCGACGAGGACTCGCAGCCTATGGAGAGCGGTTTAGGCGACGATGAAGCCACCTCGGCGAACAGCTCAAGCGATGACTGTGACGAGCAGTGCTGTAACGATGACTCCGTGGCGTCCGACTCTTCTACAGAGCCCAGTGGAGACTCAGCGCAAGGCGGAGGAGACTTCGTTTCTGACGAAGCCTCGTTTGGTGCTCATCCGCAACACGAACTTTTAGCAGCCGAAGAATTCGCCGTCATCGCCGGGAAGCACAATCTGACGCACGCGAGTATAAATGCCATCCTGGATTTCTGCCGGCGCCGAGGCATCTCGGAGCTTCCGCGGGACGCGAGGACCATCATGAAGACCGAGCGTAAAGCTAAACTGGACAGTAGTGGTTCGTTTATACACTTTGGACTCGCGGAAGGCATCCGTGAAGCGTTGGGGCCCGGTCCTGTTCCGCAGGTGCTGAAGTTGCAAGGCAACATTGATGGTCTACCTTTGTACAAAAGTAGTCAGCTCGGCTTATGGCCGATACTGTGCCGAATCACCAACGTTCCAGCATCTGAGCCGTTTATGGTCAGCGTTTACTGTGGAGTAGGGAAGCCGCCGAGCTTGCAAACATACTTGGAGCCATTCCTAGAAGATGTCGCCGAGCTGTCCTCCAACGGGATGGTTCACAAGGGTGCCCATGTGGATGTAAAGCTGACAGCGATGATCTGCGATGCCCCTGCAAGGAGCTACGTCAAAGCCATAATCGGGCACAATGGCTACCATGCTTGTGAACGCTGCAGCCAGAAAGGTGAACGCATTGATGGCAGGCTGACTTTTCCAGACTTGTATGCACCCGAACGTACAAATGCTTCCTTCCGGACCCACGATGATGAATGCCACCATACCGGTGTGTCTCCATTCATGTCACTCAATATTGACATGGTAACATGGTTCCCGACGGAGTACATGCACCTTGTCTGCCTGGGAGTCATGCGGCGACTGCTGAAGAATTGGGTCTGCCCGGGGTACAGCAAAAGACTGAGCAGAGTGCTACGGAGCCGCCTCAATGAGGGCCTACGACAATCAGCCGCTTTTTTCCCAAGTCACTTCCAGAGGAAGCCAAGGGGCACCGAGGAGCTGGATCGATGGAAAGCGACAGAGTATCGGACGTTTCTTCTCTACGTCGGGCCAGTACTTCTGAAGCATGTCGTGACCCCTGAACAGTACGAGCACTTCTTGATGTTGCATGTGGCCATCAGGATTCTCGTGTCACCAAAGTACCATTTGGTCTTTAACCAGTTTTCACGGGACCTGCTTAGGTACTTCGTACAAGAGTTTGGCAAACTCTACGGAGCGAGACAGCTTGTGTATAATGTGCACACCCTAAGCCACCTCGCTGACCAGTGCCTCGATCATGGGCCTCTTGACAGCTTCAGCGCTTTCCCCTTTGAAAGCTACCTGGGAAAGATAAAGAAGAAGCTGCGGTCCTCAAACAAGCCGTTCGCGCAGCTCAGTAGAAGAATATCTGAAGTGCGACATACTGCACACATCCAGGCCAAAGCTGTGCAGCACCAAGTCAAGCCAGGTGACTGCTTTATGTTCTCCGAGTCTCCTGTCGTCGTCCTAAAGATTCTGAGTGATAGCTTCGAGGGAGGCATTTTACCCAACCCAAGAAATTTCTTCAAGGTGCCCCTGAAGTCCTCCGAACTTGGCATGTGGCGGTGCGATTCTATCGAACTTGAAGCAAAGATCTGGCCCCTTGCTGATCTTCAGAATGCTGTTCAATGTGTTAAGCTTGAATACAAGCAGGGGCACGTCGTGCTGCCACTTCTTCACCTGTTCTGAAACCTCAGCTGCTGCTCAGTGCCACGGAAGTCAAGTGCGGCTAACGGACTCCAGTCTGTTGGTTGGAATCTCGGCCAAGGTTTAAGCAGTACGCTTCTAGTCGGACGACTCGGGGGAGTGTGCTGCAGTGCGGCAGAAAGTCTCCGTCAAGGCGAACTGGCTCACCGCCCCCTTTTGTACGGGCTGCGATGTTTCGTGCGGTGATTGCGTCAGACTATTGAGTGTCTGCTGTGGCAAAGTCTCAGGCGAGGTGAACTGACTCGCTGCTTTTTTGTGTTGGCTGTGACATTTTCGTGCAGTGATCAGACTCGAGTACCTGCTGCGGCAAAAATTCACGGTCGGAGAGAACTGGCTCACGCTCGCTTTCGTGTGGGCTGCAACGTTTTTGTGTTGAGTGTGTCAGACTCTCGAGTGTTCACTGCGGCAATAGGTGTCTCCGTCGGGCCTAACCGGCTCATCGCCCGCTCTTGTGCGGGCTGCGATGTTTTCATGTGGGATTGTGTCACACTCTTGAGTGTCTGCTGTGGCAAAGTCTCAGGTGAGGCGAACTGACTCGCTGCTTCTTCATGCTGACTGTGACATTTTCGTGCGGTGATTGTGTCAGAGTCTTGAGTGCCTGCTGCAGCAGGAAGTCTGTCAGAGCGAACTGGCTCATCGCTCGCTTTCGTGTAGGCTGCGACGTTTTCGTGTGGTTATTGTCTCAAACTTTGAAATGTTCACTGTGGCAGAAAGTTTCCGTTGGGGCAAACTGGCTTACCACTCACTTTCGTGCGGGCTGCAACATTTTTGTGCGGTGATCGGTTGGCTCTCGAGTAGTATCCTGTGGCAGAAAGTCTGCGTCGGGGCAAACTGGCTCGCCACTCACTTTCGCGTGGGCTGCAGCGTTTTCGTGTGGTGATTGTGTCGGACCCCTGCTGCGGCAGAAAGTCCTCGTCGAGGCGAACTAACTCACTACTCACTTTCGTGCTGGCTGCGACATGTTGAAGCAGTCTGTGTGTCAAGCTTTTTAGTGGCTACGTTGAGTCAGGAAGTATCCATCGGGGTGAACTGGCCCACTAATCGCTTTTGTGTGGGCTGCAATGCTTTCATGCGTTGATTGTGTCAGGCTCTGGAGTGTCTGCTGTGGCAGAAAGTATCCATCGGAGCAGCTGGCTCACCATATAATCTCTTAAGTGAACAGTATATGTTCGTAATTGAAAATGATCCCTGTTGACTATGACGAGACTTCACACGCCTGATTTTATTTCTGCACTTGCAAATTGAAGGCATGTATACATTTCACTTTTCAGATTTTTACTTGATTTATGAGAAAGTAAAATTTTGAGATGACTGCCTTTGGAGTGCGGCCTTAATGTACATATTTTAAACACCGATGAAGTGAGCGGATGAGCGTTTATCAAGATATCGGTTAGCATGAAATACCGTGATTATTCGAAAATGTTAACACAGTATGAGTGTTCAGGTGGTCATTAATTATATTGGTCATCTTATCATGAGGTGGCAGTTATGCATTGACAGAACTGTCACTTGGAGTTATTCATCACTGTTCAACATATACCATCTAATTCCAAAGTTTATAAACAGTATACATGTGGTTGGCAAACATATCTCAATGTAACATGCATACTGCATTGCTGGGAAGCCATTGGATATTAAAATTAAATATTGAACAGTCTATGCCAATATATATTTTCAATATTTGTCACCCACCATTGGTGTTCCCAGGTATTTTTTCCGGGGAGGTTGGGGGTGGGAACGTGCTTTTAGTGCTATTTCTTGCGCTGAGCTTACAAATTGTGCAATGAGCGCAGGGTCGGACCACATTTCAAGGCGGGCTGAAGCCCCATAAACGGGCTCCTTCCCCTGGCTCCACCACTAGCAGCATGGTTTTGACATGCTAATTTTAAATAACTGGTACCAGGATATTTCCAGGGATGGAATTGCTGCGCCACTAAGTGCCTAATGACTTTTCATGCG